CTGCCATTTAAAAGTTATTTATTCAATGTTTGACAGTTTTTACTTTACAGACCTTCCAAAACGTTGGCTAAGTTTATCTTCTAAGCATTTTATTTTCTTAATGACCTTATCTTCTATTATGTGTATATGTGCATGTGAGGGTATGTGCACAAATTCAGTGCATTTGTGACATCTGGCCTTTATTTTGTCAAGGTATATTCCTTGTATAATTAAAAATTTGAAGGCCTTTTAAACATGAAAGGATGCTGAATATTACTGAATGTTTTCTTATATCTATTGATGATCATACAACTTTTATTTTTCATTATGGTAATATAGTACATTAACTAATTTGCATATGTTGAACCATCATCTTGTCTTAAAAGCCTTGGCATGATAATCATAAATTTAATCCAAATGCAGATGTTCTTGGTGTTTTAAAATGATTACTGAGCTAGTTTAAGAATTTTGTACTACAAAAATTATTACATTTTAAAAAATGAGAATCTAAGTCTCCCAAAATAACAATATTCTAACTTTTTAGTCATGGTTCATACTATATTATTATTTGCATTATCTCATTTGATCTTCATAAGTCAAGACACTATTTGATTCAAGGCAAATTAATTTAGTATATTTTATTGCTTTTAACTTCCTATCAATCATGAATTTTGTTTTGTCCTGATGTTCATAATATAGACTATAGCAATGTCAAAAGAAGAAACTTGAAAAACACTGCCTTCGTTTATTATGTATTTTGTGATTATTTCTAGGGTTTTTGTCCTCTCTTGATTTTTACCTAGGCATAGAGAATTAGGATGTGCCTGGTGTAGATCCTAAAAGACAGATTTAGCCTACTCAAAGGTTCTGTTGTCTTCTTTCCTTCGACTTTGATTAAAAAAAAAAAATCTTAGGCAATTTGAAGTAATAAAAATAAGCACATTCAAAGTATTGCAATTGAATTTAATGATTTAGCATATTGTATGGAGTGTGGTACTTGGAGCACTCTAACAATATGTGCCTAAAACTATGCCACCAGGGAAATAAAAATGTTTGGGAAGAAGTGTAAGTTCTTCTGTACTTACAAGGTCAGCTTGTATGAACAGCTAACTATAACTGACAGAAAAGTTTATCTTATGTCTCATACAAGGTGTCTGACATAGAGCAAAGATGGATCACTGTAGACTATGATGTGTTCCTTTATATTTTTATTAAAATTTTAAACTTAGTATGATTATATATGGATTGATAAGAATTTTAACTTCCAAAGGTGACTTTCTATATTGATAAAAAAAAAATCTAAGATGATGTGACACCAGCAATGTTTGAAAGAAGAATTGGTTCTCTGTCTTTCGGCTAAGCTCAAATAAAGAAAGGTTCAGAGGAAGTGGAACTGTTAGGCTGTGGGTTTGAATACACATGACAAGAGGGAGAATTATTACTTGTAATATGGCTGCATAACACTCTCCTCCAAGATTACATTCCATGCTACAGAAAGGACCTTAAGCTGGAAGGTAAACAGCTAAAAGTAGCTTGAATAGTTTCAGTGCCTGAAACTTACCAGATTCACTAGGCCCTCTGTCCCTCCCTCCCTCCTCCCTCCCTCTCTCCCTCCCAGAGTAAGCAGTAAAAGCTGAGAGTCCCCTTCGGATCAAAGGCCCCTGAGCCACAAATCAGGCTCTCAGAGGAGGAAAGCTGCAAAGACGAATCTAAGAGCAGACCAGCTGCCTGGAAGAATCAGAGATTTGGACCAGTCACTTGGAAAGTATACCTTCTCACTTACTGAGCTGCCTACAGGCTGTGCAGTGTGCTCCAGGTTACCCAGCTTTGGTGAGCTGTCACTTATGCTGCGAGATGGCGGGGTCTTGGTGATATGGCTGCCTGAATCATTTCTGTTCCTCTAAGTAACCCCTCCCTCAGACTTTTGTAAGTAAACCTAATAAAACTCATTCATTCACCAAGTTGACTTCGGTGGTATCCGAACTTTGGTTTGTTGAGGATTCCCTGCCTAGGGTAAGCAGATGTGTGTGTTGTATCTCCTTAGAAAAAGTTCTGTCACATGACAAATACTAAAAGAGGAAAAATTAAGGCCCTTTTTGGAGGCATGTTTGTGTTCAAAATAAAGAAGAGTTTGGATTAGCGCATGAGGACTTCATCAGTATAAGTAGATAGCTTCCTGTCAAAAAGCTCCAATGTTGGGGAAGTACTGATTAGGATATGACTGAGGGACTTCTCAAATTTGATTCAATTCTTGATGTACACTAACTTATGAATTATAACATAGGTAACTTAGTTGTCTTTATAAGAGAACTGGAAGTAACAACTGTGAAAATAAACCAACAAGGATACTGATGGGGAGGATATTTACAGAAACTGTACACTTTGGACTTGGGCCCGAAAGGTAGGAGCTTTGACTGGGGCAGCAAACACCTCAAGTAGATAAGTGATATGTCCTACTTTAAATGATATCTGGGAATATCAGAAAGAAAGGTTATTGGAAGAGGATGCTGACTTCCACTTTTATATCTATAATGGCATTCCCTTCTATTCCTAGTTGCTCCTAGTAGTTTGTTTTAAGTTGGTGACTACAATTTAAGCCTGCAGTTTCTTAGTTCTGTCTGGTTGCTCTTTCTGACTGAAGAGTAGCCATATCTTTGGTACTTTGGTACATGTCTGGCCCGAAAAGTAAATGTCATGATTTAAAGGTGTCTTGTTCTTAATATGATGGTTCATGGCCATTCTATTGGATCTCAGTGACTTTTTAAATACCAAGACACTTTTTTGCAGTCACAGAAAGCAAAACTGCTGCCTTCCCTGTTATAATCTGAATCTGCTTCAATTTTTCGGTCTAGTTGGTGATGCTATTTTGGAGACTGTGGAGAACTTGCAAAGTGAGACCAGGGTGGAGAAGCAGGTCACTGGAGACAGGACCTTGGAGGTGTTTTATCCTTGACTGCTTCTCGCCACTCTCTATGCTTTCTCATCTGCCATTGCTGGAACATATCTTCTCCACCATGACAGACTGGCAATGCTGAAACCAAACCGAACTAAACCATCTCTCTTTTAAGCTATGTCAACAGCTTGGGGATAGGAACGAAAAGTAACTAGTACACTCTCTTTGCCCATGATGCCCTGTTCACAGTCAACTGAATGTGGTCCCTAATTGGGAGATATATATATTCCTGCCACCTACTATACTGTCCTGAATATACAAGGTGATAATTGTATGAATTAAAGTTTATGAATGCATGTTACATTTTTGATTGCAAGTAAATTATTTCTGTAGTTTACAGTTCCCTTTGTGATTTGTAAATATGAGAATTCTCTGAAAGACAAAGCCACTGTGCTTTGGCTGTCAATATCCAGTTCTACTGAGCCAGGCTTCTGAACATAAGAAATTCATCCGATAACTACTGTCTTGCCATTTCTCTTGGCAGGTAGTAATTTGCTCTCTCCTTAGGGACTCCCCTACTTTAATACTGGAATGTTTTTGTAAACTTCAAAACATTGATCCATCTTCATTAAGCCTTTAAGGTCATAATGAGGACATTTCATTTACGGATACCAAATTACCCCACACAGATTTTTATTATCAACTTGCAATTGTGCCAGGCTTCCTCGTGGGCTTATTTTATCTAAGGCGGCCCTTCCATTTTATGAGACTTCAGTTAATTAGCTACAGTTGTTTATGGCTAAATGGATGTAACCAGAAAAGGTAGCATATAGAGATCTCCGTGTAAATTGGTTTTATTGGTGAATATCAATGTTTGAAATTGGAAAAAATCAGGAAACGGGGAACTTATATAATTACCAATAATAAACAATATAAAGGGGAGAAGGACTTCTTCTGATCCTGTGATATCCAGAAAAACAAAAGTATTCCGAATCAGCAAATGGGAACAGAGGCCAAGAAGCTGTCGCCTATATCGACTTTATTTTTAAAACCTTTGCCCCGTCATGAGTGTGCTGCAATATTTCAGGTGCCACTGAAAGCAATGGGGCATGCAAGTATAGCATCCCTGGAGGACCACAGGTCCCTCTTCGTCGTTTTCTATTGTGACAAAGAGCAGGTGATGTGCTTCTGCCTGCATTTGCAGCCAGAACAATGCCCGGCCCAGGGAGAGCACTGAAGACTTGTTCCTTAGATGAGTGACAGAGAAGGTAGGCCGACAAGTGGCTGTCACCCGGAAGCTGCCTCCTCAGCAGCTAGCCAGAGGCTTCCCGCTGCCTCACCTGTCCTGCAGCACCGACCTGAGTGCACGCTCCCTGCCCCGTGCAGTCTTCAGGTGGCGGCTCATTTCTCACAGCAGGGCCTCGTGAGGAGCGCAGACCCGGGCTAGACAGGGAACAGGGACCCTGAGTGACCCAGGCCTCAGTTTCCCAATCTGTGGTCCACAACCAACCTGCAGGCGCGCTAGCCTCGTCGCAGCATGGGTGGGCAGTCCGGCTCTGCCTGGCATTGTGAAAGCTAGCCAAGCCGCCATCGCCAGGCGAGTGAGCGCCAGACCCGCCGAGCAGCTTCCCACGGCCCGCGCTCGCCGTGGCGCGCTCGCTCCGCTGCCCTTCGCTTCCAGAGCGTGGCGGCGCGGGCTGCGACGCCTGGGAAGCCGAGGGCGCGCGTGCGCGCGACAGGCGGGAACGGGGGCTCGGAAGGAGGCCGCCCGGCGCACGTGCATGTGCGCGCGTGCAAAGGACCCGGGGTATGGTCGGCGCGCCCGCAGGTGGGCGCGGACGCGCGCGCCACAGTAAGAGGCAGGTTTGAGCGCGCGCGCGTGTGCTCGGCTGGCTAGGTGCGGGATCTGTTCAGGGCGCGTGCGCGCGGCAGGCAGGGGGCGGGGTCTGCGCGCGGTAGGCGAAGGGGGCGGGGCCCGTGTGTGGGCAGGTAGGCGCGTGTCCACCCCCAGTTCCCCCCGCCCCGTGCGCGTGCGTGCGTGCGCGGCCCTCCCTCCAACCGAGAGCGCGCTCCTCCCGCGCTCGCGCCGACCGGCGTTCAATCTCCGAGCCGCGCACTCGGAGGAGCTCCTACTGCCGCCGTCGCTGTCGCCGCCCGCCGTCTCCGTCGCCTCGGGCCGCGACTCCCGACCGGAGGCTCTGCTCGCCTCTCAGCCTTCTCAGGCCTTTCCCGCCCTTCGCCCCGCCGGCCGCCGGCGCCTGGCTTCGACGCGGGGTCGCGAAGATGGAGGTGCCGCGCCTGGACCATGCCCTCAGCAGCCCCAGCAGCCCCTGTGAGGAGATCAAGAACCTCAGCCTGGAGGCCATCCAGCTGTGCGACCGCGATGGTGAGGCACGGTGACATCGGCGGGAGACAAAAGGACGCGGGCGGAGGGGGTCCGGTCCGGTCCGTGGGAAAGGGCGCCTCTCGGGTCCGCGGGAGAAGGCTGCCGGGGGAGAGGGCGCCTCTCGGGTTCGCGGGAGAAGGCTCCGAGGCTCGGGTCCGTGGGAGAGGGCTTCACTGGGAAGAGGGAACCTTTCGGATCCGCGGGAGAGGGCTCCGCTGTGGAGAGGGCGCCTCTCGGGTCCGCGGCCCGGTGCTGCCCATTTCTGCAGCAGGCAGGTCCTGGATCTCCCGGCACAACCGCCACCGCAAAGGCTAGATAGGTCTCCCTGACCAGAAACTTCTCCATTCCGGTGCAAACCTCCTACCCCTGCAAGTGTCTACCTGGGGTGAGCCTCGTAGTGTTTTAGTCGGCGGGCGGAAAAGCTGCGTTTCAGCACCAAGGACAGACACTAGGTTCCTGGCTCTGGGCAGAGAGCGATTCTGAGAATGTCAAAAAAAAAAAAAAAAAAAAAAAAAAAAAAAAAAAAAAAATCTGTGCAGGACTGGGTCCTCTACATCTGCTGGGATTCAGTGTGTGTGGAGCACGTACCATTGTGTGTTGATGTATCGGTACTCTATTGTTAAAGTTGGCAGCCTCCGGAAAAAATATGATTGATCACAGGTCCAGGTGTTAAAGTGCAGTGTGGGCCCAGAGCGGTGTGCTGGACTAGTTGGAAGATCAGTGTTGTTGCAGTGATTTGGAATAAAACTTCATTTGTAAAGAAGTCGTCTGATTGCTGATTGGCCAGATAATTGTAAAATTCTGCATATAACACAGTTGAAAATCAGTTGACATGGAAACACTTGACTATCATTGAAATTTTGTTTAACTGTATGTGAATAATGGCTATTAAGCGTTTTAAAGAAAAGTTATGAGAGATATTATTTGGTATACAGTAAGATCATAATATTTAACATCGTAACCCGTATAGGAAACAAAGATCTTGTTTTTTAAGGCATTTAAATGCTAATAACCGGTTTAGGCATTGATATTTTAAACATTTAGGTAGCGTGAGAGCTAAAGTCCTGTTTACTAATACATTTGTTATTGTTAATATGAATTTATTTTTAATAATTTTGAAACCAAAATTCAAACGCTTTGAACCCAACAAACCTTAGCTTCTAAGAGAGATGAATTGAGAGTAAATAAATATTATGGTAAAGGCTGCTTATATTTCCTTTATCGGTAGGTAACATTAGTAATGTTACCTTCCTAAACTGCAGCTATTTTTATTTTCTCAGATTGATTTTAGAGGTGAAAGTAGCTTTGATATTTATTTAGTTCGGTGATTTATACGTACTCATTCAAATAGTAAGTGGGACTACTATAACTCAGTATTTTTCCTCCAACTTCAGTAATATCGGTGTTTTAAATGGCATTCACTGTGTTCATTATAGCTTTTAGGGAAATATTTGTTTAATGAAGTTCAGAGTCACTAATGTACGCTGCTTTTACTATAGTCTGTTCTAGAATAGTAGCTCTTCGGGTCCATTTTTAGCATCTCGGTTGATATTATTAATCCTGCGAAGTCACCAAATTATGTAACATTTAATTGAGGGAGATGCTGGGATCAAGCAATAGCTATGACAATTATTATTTGTAGTCCTCTGATGGATTTATGCTGGACTAATCAGGTTTCATTTTGTAAAATAATGGAAACCAAGGAATACAAAGAACCATGCCATGGAAAATGTATAAAAAATGGAGAAATTCCATAGAGAGGTTGTCAAATGCTTGTCTCCCTCTCCCCTTTGTGACCCTGTTCCAGTATATGGCAATTTCTAATCAGTTAGTTGGCTTCATGAGAATAACTTATAGGGAATGACACTTTTTGTAGAAGAGTTGTGTAATGTGCTGTACTAAATCTGTTAACTAGACCCTCGTTAGCACAGTTTCCTATTGAAATACTATAGCTCCCTGCCCTTCGCTCACATCCCCCCCTTCAGATCTCACTGCTTCACTTCCATCAACATATGAAGTAGAAAGGCAAGGTTATGGCAGCATTTGTAGCTGACGGTATATTTTTACTTTAGGTCCATAGAGCTGTAGTTTTATTTTATGATCATGGGGTATATTGCTTTGTTTGTGGTTTACTTTTTAATCATTTCACTTTGCTCTTGTTAATTTGGTAAGAAATGGAATTAAACCCCTTGGAAATGCAATAGATATTTCTAGTAGGGTTGCTAATGTGCTTTCCTTTCTACCTGCAGATGTTTAGAATTGTATCATGTGTGAAGCACAAGCTATGGCTCCTGGTGTATAACTACCTGTCTCTCATTTCTTTGGCTCTCCTCTTTTATCCTTCGTCTGTTGCTGGTCTTCCTATAAACTGTAGTTTATGCTGAGTGATAGCATCTTCTCACATTATTTCCTTTTATTTCTTTATTTTGCAAAAAAGTTAGTAAACTTGGAAGAATATCAGAGTTCAAATAGTCATGCATTGGGTTTTTAATAAAGCCAAAGGGTTCCTGTAAATACACATGTGTATTACCTTGTGAGTAGTCTTTCCCAGGCATGTCTGCTTTGTTGCTAGTATGTGGTTCCTGCCCGAGTGCTAATCACTGATGTTCAGAATGAGGATTTTAGGCAGGATTCTATTAGGAAACTATTGGAATGAGCAGAGTAGCCCTGCAGGCTTCTGTTAATCCCCCAAGCAGGCAAGCACTTCTTCTCCTAGCTCTAGAGTGCTCTGGTGCGCTCATTATTGAATACAGCATGTTGCTTCACAATGATTTTTTTAATGGAAAGGAAGACATCCGGTTTTATCTGAAAATATTAGAAAGATGGGAATCCATTTTTACTTTGTTTCTTCCTATAACTGCATGAGGTGCTTACCCTCCTGTGACAAGAAAAAAAAATAGCTCACCGACCCTTATACAAAATTCTGTATCAGTTCTGAATCTCATTGTCTTTTTATTACACACATATGTACTACTCTATTGTTGTTATAGAGAAGTAGGAAAGACTGATTTTTTTTATAATAGTAACACATGCCCCCCAAGCTTTCTGTCTTTAACAGTCATTATCTCTCTGAATAGGTCGTTTTGTGGCTGTCTAGATTTGGTGTATGGGGTTTATTATGCTTCTTAACAAGTGAACACAACTTAAGGAAACTACAGTTTCTTTGTATTTGTAGTTCTGTGGAGAAAGGGAAGGGGGTTCTTCTTTATATATTCAAAATATAGATTCCTTTAAGAAATGTTATTTACTTAAGTTTTAGAAGGAGCTGAAACATTCTTCTATGCTTTGGATATGTGACTTAAACACATCATAGCATTAGGAGCTTAAAGTAATCCAAATGAATAATGGCACAGTCCACGTTAGATACCCTGGGTAACACCTCTGGAGCAAGAAAATGCCTGAAAAGAACACCTGTGACGTGCGCCTTTAATGTCTCAATCACATGAATGTGAGGTAATCATGGCTTAGTCCCACTGACGTGCAGTATGGAATAGCAGTAATACCTTTGCAGATCAGATGGCCAGATTAGCGTGTTGGCTCTTGACAGACCTGTAACCTTGGGCAAGTTACTTAACCTGTTTTAGCCCAAGGCACCCTCATGAAAAATAGGCATGGTAAAAATCATATATGATTTTTGAAATGTAGATTGAAGTATTATATAGCATTGGTCACAATTCTTATTGCAAAATGGAGAAAAATTCTTGGGAGTGGAATGTTAATCTTCTTCATAACTCTTAAATTGAATGTACTATTTTTTAACCTCTTTTTTGTAGCCAATATTTGTATCCCTGTTAGTAATTCAGTTGTGTGCTGTTTAGGAAAGCATTTCATGAGGAATTATTCTGAATAAGTTCTGAATCTTAAGAGGAAATTGAAGAGAATGACAGCGGCAGTATTCTGACCCACTGCTCAGCAACCATCCCAACTTGTCACTCATAGTCCTAGAAGCTGTTCTGAGCTTCTAGTTCACATCTGTGGCTACTTCCCTGTGCCTTGTGACCTGGACACACACTTTGAACAAGTGTCTGCCTCAGCTCCCTCTGCCCTTGCTTGACAATATTTTTCTTCATACCCTTTTCTAACAGCTGCTCTGCTCTGTGTCCTATGTCTCTGTATTCATTTCTTTGCTTCAGATACCACGGTGAGGGTGCTGTAAATTTTCATTAGTGAGCAAAGAACTACATGACTAAATAAAAGCTAAAGGAAGCAGACAAGAGCAAGAAAACCATCATCTATGTTAAACCAACTCTTACTCTTGCTGGGAGCTCTATTCAGTTTCTGTAGAAGACCAAGAAGTTTTAGAGGGAAAGTCTCATCAAAGACTATGTGAACAGACTCCCTCCAGTGGCGGAATGACTGTGTGGCCTCAGCAGTAACTGCACTTGACTGGTTGCCAAGGCAGACCTCTCAGAGAGTCACTCCGGGCAGAACACTGTAGATGACCATCAGGTCACTTGGTTTATCTTCACTAATATTTCTCACTCATTTGTCCCATTTGCTTTTTCTCTAACTTGAGTGAGTCTGCTCCCACTTACTCTTATCTTTATATTACCTTCAGTAATAACAGCAGTTGGTTGCCTTGCTAAAATAAGCATAATACTTTATTTTCTATATTCACTTCTCTGCCTTTAGTCAGAGTTTCAAATTTTACCTTTTGCCTTGTTGAATACATCTTTTTCTTGGGTTTATTTTCTATTTCTGTTCAATTTCTAAGACTCTCTTAATTCATTATTATTTGAATTATCTTCTTACTGTGATAATATATATGTACCTCATTTTGTAACTATTTGAAATATTTTATTACTTCAAGACTATAACTATTCTACTGTCTCACTGAGTAGAATATGTTCGTACTTACACAGCTGAGGAGAAAAGTCAGCATTTGTAAAGATTGTAGCAGAAGTATGTAGCAAAGCAGAAACATCGGGGTCAAATGCACAGAGAGTTGAGCATGCTCTACTTCCAGGTGTTGGAACACAGGGCGTTGGCAGGGTGGAGGG